TAAATGTTAAACAAATCACTTGTTAAATATCTTTGCAGAAAAGATGCATAAACTACAAGTACATATTGTACAAACTTGTCTTATACATATTATGTGTTCAGAAATAATACGAGGAAAATGCTTTTAAAAATTTTCAAAAGTCACGGTAATTCAAATTCAAAATGACTGAAGGTATAACACCAGTTGACTATCATTAACTATAAATGGTCTGTAAAAACAACAGCAGCTTTCAGCCTGTCACCATGATGCAAACATGAAATATCAGATATACAGTAGTAGTTCTTTACAGGTTTTTTATTCGATTGCGCTGCTTTTCCATTGTTTTTTCTGTGTAAACATGGATGTGTTTGACTTTTGCGCTCGCGTCTCTTGCAGTGTCTCATGCGTGAAATGCCTTTTTAAAAACACTGCGCTCAAGTTAAAAGAAGTTCACTCCCATCTTCTTGCATGTTTTACCTATTCCACTGCCCGTGTCGCATCTTTGCCAACACAAGAGCGCATTCTGTGTGAATGGCGCTTAGCCTATATTAATGGTCCTTCACAGAGCGCATCACACGTGAGCGGATAATCACGTGCGCCGACATGCGGTTGGATCATTAGTTTCTCTTTACTGTTATCACCGGCATATTGTCAAAGTGTCTAATTCTAACATTTGGTAATATTTCTATTCAAAATCGCGATTCCTTGATTTCTAAAAAATAAAATCGTGGCAAAACAATAAATTCGAATTAATCGAAAAAAATCGGGAAAATCGTCCAGCCCTATCTGCTAGATGTATATGCAAATATAAAGCAAATGTTTAGTTTATCATCACTTGTTTTGGAAGGGAGGGCTGAAAGAAGGATGGAACGATGCGTTTGTATGTCTGTTCTCCATGAGCCGATGAGGCAGTGAGCTAATCTCCTGGGCAGACGTTTGATTCAAGCCGAATTAGCTTTTCACACTTGTTTTAGCCTGCAATTGGACACATCAGCAGAAGTGAGGAAGGAACTTGTTGCTGTCTGGTTGCAAAGCTGTCTGGTGTGTGTGTGTTTGAGATAGTGAGGTCTTCTTTTAGGGAGGGATGGATGACTGATTTGATTGTTGCTGTGAGACACAGCTGGGACCAGGACACCTTCTGTGATGGCAACCCGCTTTATTTCGCTCTTTACTTTTCTCCCCTGAGAGAACAACGGCAGAGTGTGCAATGATGAATGGCATCGCTGCGGTTTCAGGGCTCTTTCAGTGTCTTGTAAACACATACACAAGCTAATCATGGCCGCAAACTGTATATGAGGATGCTGACTATGTCCCAGGTATTTCATAATGCTGTCTCAGTCGATACTTTGCAAACTGTCCTAACCAGGAGCGAAGTGATAAATCAATATGATCTTTTTCATATTAATCTGATTTTGTCTTTGGACATTTTGTCGGTTGCTCTCCATTTTTGACGCATAGTGCTGGATATTTTATTGCTATATTTTGTCTCAGTGTTTTGCATCAAATGATGACAAAAAGGTGACTGCAGACCTGGTACTTTGCAAATAAGACTGTTTTATGTGAAAAACTGTAATATTTTTCACAATATAATATATTAAACTGTAATATTGTGAAATATTATTACAAGTTAAAATAATGGTGTACATTTATATAATGGTGTTTTATTTCCATAATGGCAAAGCTGTAACATTATTCATGCATGTAATATTATAAATGTCTTTATGGTCAGTTTTGATAAATTTAGTTTGTCCTTACAGTGTGTCTTTGACTAATCATTTAATCGCATAAAAAATATATAATAATAATAATAATAAAAAATAAAAACTTACTGAGCTCAAACTTTTGAACAGTAGTGTACTTCCAGTCACAGAAAATTATTTTCTTTTTCTTGCACAGTGAGCATGATGTGGGAGAGGATGACATATATGACTGCGTCCCCTGCGAGGACGATGGGGACGACATCTACGAGGACATCATCAAGGTGGAGGTTAGACAGCCCATGGTGAGTGAGACACCATACGGACAACGCTCATTGGTGCGTGTGTGAGAGAGGATATAGATGGATTTTTTTTCCTTTCATTTTCCCTCGGCTGTGCGTGAGTTCACTTGCTCTGCTCACATTTGCTGCTTTGCCTCCTTAATGCTGCAGATAAGATACATGCAGGTAAGTGTCACGCTGAACCGCACATGATTCTCTTATGCTCCTTCAGTGGTCCTCTTTCCTTTCCTTAAAATGTGTGTCGACACAAGCCCTCGAACCCTTTATGCATATATGAAGAACTTGCTGAGCGGGTCTAGAGTCTCACTCTTATTGACAGTTCATTGAATTTCCACAATTTTATTTATTAAAGGAATAGGTGACCCAAAAATAGATAAATATATACAATATTTTATCAATGAATATTTTACCCTCAGATGTTTTAATAAATGTTTACGCTGCTATTTTCCGTGCAGTGAAAGCACATGATGACCAGGGACCTAAAAGACCTTGATAACACCTAAAATCTTATTTGTGCATGTTCATTTTTAAACTTGCCAATTGAAGATATTTCACGCCAGACCATTGTTTTGCATATGTTTTGTAAGTTATCAGGACAGACCAGTTTGCATATGCAGAAACATGGGGTCCCATTTCTAAAATGCACATTTGATCGGATTTGATCCTGAATACCATCGATTCTATCCTACATGAAAAGTGAGGAACAAATCTGCATTTATGAAAGCAGAAGCTGACATGAAAATGTTCTTATGTGTACACCAACTGTAGAGCATGTGTACAAATGTTTCGACTCCCATATACCAATAATTCAGTTAATTCAACATTGTTTATGAAAATAAACTTGCAATATGCTTATAACTTTTTGGAGCTTTACAGCATGTGGTCTCTGCTTTCTAAAACAAGTTTGAAAACTCACTAGCATTACACCAAAAACAAATGATTATGCTTAATGTTTGATTAGGTCTATTAGATCTCTTTATATGTTAATTTTATGGAAAGCAGCAGTGTGAACATTCTGCAAAACATCTGCCTTTGTGTTCCACGGATGAAAGAAAGGCATGAGGGTGAGAAAACAACATCAGACTTTATTTTTTGATGAACAATTATTTTTAATATTTGGGGTATTTTATACTTTTTAATATTTGGGATGTACTGCATTTATTATCCATTAAGTTACATCATATTTTTTCATCATATTTAAATCCACTGTGCAAAATAAATAAAAATGCTAGCAGTTATTTTATGGCAGGAGCGTCTTCCTTTTGCTAGAAATGAGAAAGGAGGGGAGGCTGACTCTGTGCTAATGTCCGTCTGAGTTTAAAGTGTGTGCTGTCACACCGAGTGAGCTAATGTTAAGTTATTTTTAACCCACAAGGGAGGAAATCCCTCCTGCAGACTGAGAAAATGGTTGGATCCCGCCTTCATAGAGATACACACACGCACAATCTGTATCATCAGACAGATGCTACAACAAGGGCACATTAGATTCTCAGTGGGACAAATACAGCCACTCAAATGAGGGAGAGAAAGAAACATGTCAGAGACCAAGACAGAGGTGTTTCTAAACTGCTGTTGTTTCGCATATTATATCTTCTTGATCTTCTATACGTCAGACAATTTCCAGATTTACCACAATAGCCACTGGAGTTTCACAGTGCCCCATTATTCAGTGAAAGTCACAGATGTATTTGCCTTTCCCAATCCTGGCTGCTTTCAGTGTTGCTAGGCGGACCTTTGGAAGGATTTTTTCCCTCTTTTTTTGTCCATCTTGCTCTCTAACGAAACAATTGTTTGTGATCTTGAATTTCTCTGGATGTGGGCAGGTTTGCTTTGGCCTTGTGCACCGCCAGGCCCAGATGTTTAATTGTGTGTTGTGATGTTCATTGCAGCTCTCGCCTTCAGCTGGCGTGCACCTTCCCCCGGCTCCAGCGTTATCGCCACTTTCTTAAACAAGCTTGCAAACCCGCTCGCATTACACCAAGAGCCAGTGATTACTCTTAATCAAATGCATCATGTTCTATTAGATCATTTTCTGTTGTTATTGTTTTGTGAATTGACCTCATTTAGTTACTCAACCCTCATCAAAACCACATTTATGGCTTCCCTACAGTTGTTCATTGTGCTTTAGACTTGGACATGGATGTTGTTTTGAATGAATGAAAGACTGAATTCTTGCTTGAACCTCAGCGTTTTAACCTACAGTCCTTGTCAACGTTGCCCTTGAGGTTTTGTTGTGAAATACTCACTGTCCACCTCTGTCTTTTACTGTAGTGTGCTTTGGCCATCCTGATTGTGACCTGAATTCCCTTAAATTACAGTTCGGTACCTTGTACAGGTGTTTAAAGGTGCTGAGCTGGCATTCTGCAGAACGATACCAACATGGTTTGTGTGTCTTTTTCTTCTTCCCATAACAGAAAATGGGCATGACGGAAGATGATAAGAGAAACTGCTGCTTGGTGGAGATTCAGGAGACAGAGGCAAAGTACTACAAGACACTGGAGGACATTGAGAAGGTGAGTGGAGAGCATAGAAAGATTTAGAGCTGGAGAGAGTGGAAATGAAGGCCTGGAATTGGGTCAAGGTCTTGATAGGGTTCTCTGCGGATAGTGCGGTAACTCAAAATAGATGGAGGGAGAGGACAAAAGATGAAAACTGAGCTCTAGGTGACAAGTGTTCTTAAGTGGCTTGTTGAATTATTCTAATACCTTAAAGTCAACTTGAAAATTAAACTGAACTTTCCATTTACTTTCATAATACAGTGCGTGCATAATTATTAGGCAAGTTGATATTCTGATATTTTTTTTCCAAGCACATTTTACCAATTCCAAACCACATTAATCTTAATAACTACTATTAATTTTGTATTTAATCATTTATAATTGATATATAATTGTAAATGAAGGCTGGAAGTAAAAAAAACTCGGTTACACTGTATTTCGATAGTCCACTTTAGACATTCTATTAACTATAAGTAACTTTGTAACTACATGTCAACTACATGTCAACTAATTCTCATTAATTTGCAACTACATGTCTACTAACTCTCAGAGTAGACTGTTAGGGTAGGTTTAGGGTTAGTAGAATGTTGACAAAGAAAGTGTTAGAAGATATAAAGCAGACCGTCTACTAATACTCTACTAACTGCTAGTTGACATGTAGTTGCAAAGTTACTTACTGTTAATAGAATGTCTAAAGTGGACTATCGAAATAAAGTGTTACCAAAAACTCATATTATAAATCGCATAATTATTAAGCAGGTTTTCTTTTACAGATAAAATGAGCCAAAAAAGAGATTTAACTCAGACTGAAAGTAAAAAATGATTAAATGCCCATGAGAGAGATGTAATACTAATGCAATACTAGAATTTGCAACGTTAAGGCATGACCATTGGACAGTGAAATGCTTATTGGGTCAGAAAAAAAACAGTGGAGAAGAAAAGATGCATGTTAACTGCAAAGGAATGAAGAATTAAGGTGAAGAATTAGGTGTGAAACAATTGGGAACCATTTAGTCTCCAGCACAATGAGCAATGGGCAACCTAGCTGGAGTCTCCAGAAGTTCTCAGGTTCTCAGAGACTTTTCTTGGGTAAAAAATCCTAAAAAAAATTATCCTCTCTTAATAAGGATACCATCCTGAAGTGTTGTGAAATACATGAAGACTGATTTTTTAATTTTTTATATGCTTTATGACAGATAAGTTGAGAGTAACTCTTGAAGGACCAGCATCATATCCTCTTGTACCACTCTTTTAAGAATTTATCTTCCAGAATCTGGTAGTAAGTTTTGGGAGTTCATTTTTAGTCCATCTCCTATCCTGAAAAGTCTGTCTTGCAGAGATGGAATAAAAATGAACTCCTTTGCCTACAGCAAAAAAGTACTTCCTTTGCCTACAGACAGGGCAGAAATGCCATGCACTGTCCACAAAGTGAGAAATCGTGTCCATTTTGTAAATCAGTACAGTTGGTACGAGATTGAATCTCACCCTGGAGCTATTGCATGCACTCATGCTTGTATGTACAAATCGTACAAACTTGAATGTGTGATGTTTTCTTCTGCCCTGTTTCCAATTGTGCTGTCACATACTACAGTACACACAGAATTTGAAGCGTGACAAAATAAGCCAGTGTACTGTTATTAGAGGTGATGAATCCCTCTCAAAACAGTGAGAGGTCATGCAGATTTCATATTCCAGACAGAGGCTTTGTTTACTGATTATCACTTGATTCATTTCTTCCTAATTAAGCCAAACGTGTCAGTGTTGCTCTGAAATCCCTTTCTGCTTTGCAACTGAAACAAATAGATGCATTTGCCAGGATTTCTCTGGGTTTATTATCTTTAAACAGCCTGCCCGCAGCCATGCTAGACAAATAGTATTTGACTTTTGTTTGTCAAAGACAATTACCAAACCACAACAAGGTGTAAGCAGTCTTATTACCTGTGTTTGATTGTATACTTTGACTTTGAGTAAATTTAATAAATGAATTTACTTACATGTGCCATTTCTGGAATTCAGTTCTGATTTTTCTGCTAAATATTATAGGACATTTATGGGATTTTCTTGTCTTTTTAGAATTATATGATCCCCCTAAAGCAAGTGTTAACACAGCAGGATATGGAGGCCATATTTGTGAATTTAGAGGTGAGTGATCATTTACTGTATACATTTACCATATTTTTGTAGTATTTTGTAGTAACTTAAATGTTGACTTTACTGATTATTATGTACGTGTTGCCTTTAAAAAAAAAAGTGAGTTTCATTTTTTTTAAAGATATGTGTTAAGATATACATGTCTTAAAACAATTTAAACGTTTACATTTTGGCAACGCAGACAGATGGGCAAAAGCTTGTGTCTGACAGCAAATTAATCATTCTGATAGGGCAAAAGTATGGTACAACAAATGGATAAATAATGCTGGGCTGACAATTCTTGGCAATTCTTATACAGGACATCATCAAGGTCCATTTTGCTCTGTTGAGGGCCATTGACCTGACCATGGTGAGCGGGGGCAATGGCTTGGGAAAGATCTTTCTGGACTTCAAGGAGAGGTCAGTACCTTGATGGAGTATTTTGGTTTATCACTGTCAGTACTGTTATAACATCTCTCCCTTTTGTCAACACCTTAAGCTTCTGTTGAGCTGAAATGACCTCAAGTGAAGGAGGCAAATTCTTGCTGTTGTCGCCCACCCTAAGAAAATCCATCACACCAGCAGGGCCTGACTGCAGCAGCCCAGCTATTTTAAAATAAATCCTCGTCAGAGCCCACAACCCAGAGGGCTTAGAAAGAAAATAGACCTGTCTGCGAGAGTCTGCTACTTTAGAGCTGAACGCTTCCTGTTTTGAGTGCTCTTTTCTGTCTCCTGTAGCTGCTGTATCAAAAATCAATAACCAGATAATAGAGAATGTTTTAGCTACTTTATCCACAATGGATGACAGATACCCAGGGGCTCTAGTAAAATCATAACACCGTTTCATCTACCAAAGGATTTAGCCAGCTGCCATACAGTCTCTTTCTTTTTACAGGTCATTTTTTACATTTGTCTTTCTAAAAACTATCATAAAAGAGCATGACCTTAAAGTAATAGTTTACACAAAAATGAAAATTATGTCATTTACACACCATTGAACCCCACTGACTTTTACTGAAGAAAAAAATAATTGAGACACTTTTCAAAATATCTTCTTTTGTGTATGCCTTTAATACTGCACTCTTATTTACACAGCGGACAATATTAAGATGCAGAGGAGTCAGTCATATTCTCTCTGAAGTTAGAATGAGAGCGGCTGTACCCGGTGTATTCCAGGTCACTGGTCTGGGACCGCTGCTGATTCAGCTCAGTAATGTGCAATTTCCCTGCAGTTCCCTTTGGATTGAGAAACACTGAGGCCTGACTAAGTGACAGGCCCTGTAACAGTCAGCTTATTCTAGTAATGCTACACTGCATTAAACTCTGTGTTATCAGGCATTACTGAGACTCTCTAAATCCATATTTCTGTGTAAGAGTTCTGCTCTTGCTGTGCTCAGCACAATTGCTGTTTTTTATCCCAACTGGGACCTACTTAATAAAACCAAGTAGGTGTAACACAAAATTATGACCTCACTGCAATTAGAGTGTATGCGTCCTCAGAGATGAGAACTTTGGTCTAGTGTTCTGGTTTATTAAGCAGCCAGATGACCTTGCAGTAATATCTTAGGAATTAACGTTGCTGCAATTCTTGGATCATGATCTCCAGGGGCGCAGTGTTATCAGACACCAGGGTTATAAAAATCGTCTTTGTTATACTTGCAGATTTTGAGGAAGTCAATGTTCTAGACTTGGAGCAACTTTACTTCAGTGGACATTTTTGAGCTTTTTAATATCACAAAAATGATTTTAGACTTGCATCAGATGTAATTCAAGTCTGATATTAGTGTATATCTATGATTTGAAGTGGACATGGGATGAAAGTAAAGATAGTAAACTCTAAATATTAATGGGATTAGCACAAAATGAATAAATCAACTTTAATGATCATCATTGGCAGCTAGCTGGCTTAGTTCAGCATCATGTGGCAGACAGCAAGCTTCCAAAATGTCCTTGTATTTGAACTATTGTTCACTTAAAAATTAAAATTCTGTCATCTTTTATTCATCATCATGTGGTGAGCATCTTGTATGAGACATAATTCAAAATATGTGTTCCAAAAAAAAGTATTTGTGTTCCTCAGAAAAAAATGAGATGATGCAAACATGTTTGGAATGATATAAGGGTGATTTGAGTAATGTAAATGATGAGAACATTTTAATGTTTGGCTCAGCTATTGCTTTAAGGGTACTAAGTGTGGTTTGTTTCTAATTTTCAGTTTTTCTAATAGTCAAATCTGTCATTATTTGCTTTTATATCAATAACTTGCATTGCTTTAATGTGCAAGATACTTAGTGTTGATTTCGTGTTGACTTTAAAGTCCTCAGAATGCCCTTTATAGAAGCCACTTGTTCTAATGCACATTAAAGACTTTGTTTCTCTTTTATCTTCCTCTCTGCTGTAGACATCTAATTTAACCTCCGCTTGAGTGCTTCCATAGATATCTTATCTCTCGGGTGGGTAAATGACTTTTCCCAATGAGAATTACAGTATAGGCTCTTGCGAGAGGAACTGAGACTTTGTTCTGCATCAGATTCATTGAATACAGCAGCTGCGGGGAGCATTTGCATTCTCACAGGGAGAGGCTGATCTCTACATTACTGTGATGTAGGTAATGATAATCACAGGTTCGTTTTCAGTAATGACTGCACGCTCTGACGAAAATCTCTCTCAAAATGTTCTGTAAGATCTAAATGTTTTCTTTAAACTCCCATTAACTGAAGCAAACCCACTCAGAATGTTTATATGCTATTTACAGTTGTTTAAGTTGGTGACAGGGATTGATGGCTTCCAAAAAAAAGCACGGAAAAGAATAGAGATTGAAGAGACAGCCCTATTGTTTCCATTTGTCAGTTTGCATAGGTAATTGGCCCATTACAAGGCTTTCCTCGAGCCCAGCGGGCAGCATCACGCAGAGTCGGCGTGACAGCACCGCCTCTCTCGCCCGCACTCTTTTGTTTATGTAATTCTGAGCCTGTCACCTCATTGAGCCAGTCTTCCGTGGGTGCTCGCACTAACATGCACTTTGGCACGACATTACAGTGGTGCGGCCCTGTTCTGACACACATGGCCATTTCTCTATGTCTTATCACTGGACATTCTTTCTTTCTGCTTGATTTTATTTCTTACTCTCCTCACCTCTTTGCCTGTCTATATTGCGCATCACCATCAATAATTTTATCTCCTGCTCACTTACTCTCAGTTCTCTTTGAATTAGCTAATTCTCAGTCTCAAAATATGGTTGACACTTTGCAGGAAATGGCAGTCTAATAAGAAAAATAAAAAAAATATTTGTGCAAGAGAGAGAGTGTGGCTTTTATAAAAGTTTTTGCCTCACAATGATATCTGACAGGATATATTTACATTTGGTGACATTAAGCATTAAATAACGTATTTTTGGCAAATTATTCATTTCATTAAAGCAGGGCTGCGTCATTCGCCTTTGCAATTTTTCATCTGATTGGCATGTTTCTGTTTTTCATTATGGGATGCACAGTCCCTCTCCCTTTCCTTTCAACAAAGAGAGAAATGGCCAAGGGATTTGGCCGTTGTGCGGCTGCTATCTTCCACACCTCCATCCATTGCTCCAAAAGCCCAGCTGCCTTTAATTAATTTTGTTATCTCCACTTGTAAGTCCCTGTGACCTTTTGCAGCGCTGCGTTCCATAGAATGAAATAATTGAGAAGCTTTTCAGAAGCTGTTGACACTGTGAAGGGCATATTGAATAGTGAAAATACCATCTTATTTTTTAAAAAAATTATCAAGCTGCTTTCTAAGATGCCACCTCGAGAATGCAAAGCAAATCACAGCTTTTAAATGGTCACAGAGGTCGTTAAAGTCTCAAATGGGATTTTTTTTGGAGTGTTATTTACAAACTAATTTATGTAATACTGCCGGATTGAGCTCAGAGTTGCTGAGGAACATTATTAGTTGGTTTGCGTTAAGATTGAGCCACTATTCACTTCGTGCGGTCTGTGTTAGAGTGAAGGTGAGGGGTCTTCAATGCCTCATGTCAGAGACTATTACTTCTCTCACCGACCTGTCACTTCCACTTTGCTTTGCGTTTTCCTCGCTGGCCTGGGTCTTTTCCAGTGGACAGATAGAAGCTGGAAGGAGAGTGTCTATACCAAATTGTATTTTCTGTGAAATAGCATGCATGACAGCTTTGCCATAATGAGAAAGTTGGTGCGGCGGGTGATTGCACCGGAAGAGAGTTGAATTCAAAGAGCATGTGTTTACACGGCAATGGCACAGGCTTTCACCCTGGGGAATATTCACACTTAAGAAACCCAGGGCTTTTTCTCTCTCTCTTTTCTTCTCGATCACATCCCACCCTCATAGTCTGAAGTGCCAAAAGAGGAGGAAACCAGGATGAACTTTTAGAGAAGAGCCTGAATAGCCTTGACTGTTTTGCCATTGCAGTTGTCAAGATGTTGCATGTCTAAGGTTGGCTGGCATCATAAAGCCAACGAGACAGTGGCAACACACATTGCAACATTTCTTTTCATTTCAACACCTTTCTCTTACAACTCTGATGCCTTTGGGGAGGTGGAGGCCAAGTGTTTAGCACTCCAAGCTGGATCAGTCAACAGAATTGTCTTCATAAAGAGCACATTCCTTGAGGCTGCACTGCTTAATGTGTGTTGCTTCTGGTTGTTAACATGTTTCACTTCTACTCCGGTTGCATTTAAACACACATAATTAATGGGTCATTAAAGAGTGATCTCCGTTGCACACTAATGTATGTCTTGAGTACAACCCTGAATGAAAGAGCATTTGCAGCCTTCCTAATCAAATCTGTTCAATGGATGTGTACACCACACTTCACAACATTATTTCTAGTGCTTGTAAGTTTTTTTTTCATTGTTAATGTGATGCTAGCCAATTTACTACCATTAGATGCTTAGCACAGATGGACAAAGCATGGTCTGAGTGCACGCATGAAAGAACATCTGTTTGAGCACCATGAATGGATAACGGAGATGGAAGGGAAAAATCATAGCTATCCATAAACCTTTCAAGTACACACTCTTAAAAATAAAGGTGCTTTGCGATGCCATAGAAGAACCTTTTTGTCTAAATGGTTCACAAAAGGTTCTTTGTGGCAAAAGAAGGTTCTTCAGATTATAAAAAGGTAAGAAAGAGATGGTTCTTTAAAGAATTTTTGACTGAATGGTTCTTTGTGGAACCAAAAATGGTTCTTCTATGGCATCGCTTGAAGAACCTTTTGAAGCACCTTTATTTTTAAGAGTGCAGGTAGGCGCAAATGAAAGCTCGATTTGGTATTTGTGCTCTGTTTTCTTCTCACACACTCAAAGCACACACAGAGGGCCTCATCTCATACAGCATACAAACACCCAGTTGAGTTCTCTTTCACATCTTCTTGCACTTGAATGGACAGATACACACAAAATTATATCAAAATGCCCGTCTCTCCGAGTATCCTTGTAAGTGTAATCAGTTATGTCTTAAGTGAACATGCACAACTGAGGAAAAAAAATAGATGTGTGTCACGATATTGAATTAGTGCACTCAGTCTAAAAGTGACAGCAGCCTAATAACCTGCTGCTGTCTGTCATTAATGTTAAGACAGAGAGAAAATCATTCACTGCTCCTGATTGAAGAACTGTTGTAGATTTAACAAAGATTCATATTTAATTTATACAGTGAGGGCTATGCAGTGTTATTGTACATTACAGTTTCTGTATCTGAATACTGCTGTTAGAAGTACCTTTTTTTTGGTCATCCAAAACATTTTTGTGATTTGTTGCATCCCTAGTAAAAACAGTAATATTGTAGAACATTATTACAATTTACTATTTTCTGTTTTAAAATACTTTTGTTATGGCAGCTTTTTTAAAGATTTTTTTTAATTAGTAAAAAGTTAAACAAAAAGTAAAACAATATGACATTTTTTACAATGTAATTTAAAATGTAAAAGTTTGATGCATATAATACCTTTTAAAGCCGTATAAAGACACTTATGTGAAGATTCTCGTTCCATTATTCTTGCATTGTTTCAAGTGTCCTACATAAAGCACCCTCTCCCTCGCAGTCCATTTTACGAGGCACCTGAAACATTTAATGTGGAAATTGCCTTGTAAAGAAGACCTTCATGTTCAATTATGCCTGTGACATCTGTTATTACAGCTAATTCCCGACACCTGCTCCCGCATTTTCAATATGCTGTTGAATGTGCGTTTTGGCTCATAATTGAGTGGGGCCGCCATTAATCTTCATCAGTCTATTTCCATGAGGAACCAAGCTGCCTCTCTTGTTCCAGATTAGCCTTTAATCAGGCCTGCTTAGTCCAAGGGCACAGAGGCCTAGACATTGAGCAGAGCAGCAGGGGAACACCCTTTTCAGCTCAAGACTACAGTTTCAGTTAGTTTCGCACTCCTTACAGTAGCAGATCTTAACGGGTGGCTTGCATGTCAACATGTAGAGAGGTGACACTTGGAGGCTGAATTGCTGACCATCAAGAAGATTGTAACACTTCAGAGACCACACTTAATGAGCTGGATTTGACTTGATCCTCATCCTTTGATTCATTCGACCTCATCCAGATGTATTTTGCCTTAGAGGATAATCCAGTTCGGATTTAGATAAAAATGTATCTTGCTTTGATCTGACCACTTTTCTTCCAGATTTCATCTTTTTTCTTTGGGGTTCTATAGGATTGCAGGCAATTTCATTCTTCTGATCAAGGATAACTAAGTAATGAGTATATATTATAAAGTGAAATTGGCTTAACCAAGAACACAGTTAAGAGGCAGGCAAGCTGAGAGCATCCAAGGGTTTGAGCTTGCCAACTGTGCCAGTGTCCTACTTAAATCAGAGGCAGAAATCTGTGCCACACATGGGGCCATCATCTAGACGAGATGACTTTGAGCTGCTTCCAGAATGTGCTGATCACTATCAGGAGTCCATTGTGAAATCTAATAAATGTGTCTTGATGTTCTCAGGGGCCCAAATGAACTTGTACACAATCCAGAATCCACAAAATGCTTCACTCAGATTAATTAGATGAAGAGAGCACAGCAGATGTAGCTCTATAATGAAATTATGTAACACTAACTATCTGTTCATCACATGTAGCACAGATTTTTTTTTCTTTTAATGGTTTCAAAGATTCAGGTAAAACTGAAAATAAACCCAAAGATAAAAATTCTGTAATTTTTGTCTTAGTTACTGACCAAACCCAAATTACAGTACATCTGTTGTTTTCTATATAATGAAACTATTCCTTTTATATGTTGAGCCTGAGTATTGAATGTCATTGCAAAGTCTTGGTATCAATCTTTGATCTTTCTTTTGTAGACTGCTGATCTACGGCCAGTACTGCAGCCATATGGAGAACGCTCAGAAGACACTGGATGAGCTGATTGCCACACGAGAAGATGTCAAGTGTAAAGTGGAGGTATGCTCTTAACATTTTTCTTGTACATTCCTAAAGTGTCGGTGGCATATTGATGTTTCAGGTATGCAGTGTCGTACATATACACGAGCAGTCAACAGTTTGAAATAATTAAGATATTTTAAAATTTTGTTGAAAGAAGTCCCTTATGCTCACCAAGGCTGCATTTATTTGATGAAAACACATTAAAACAGTTATATTGTGAAATATTATTACAAATTAATATAATTGTTTTCCATTATAATATATTTATGATGTAATTTCTGTCCATTCTATTTCTGTGCTGGCAAAGATGAATTTTCAGCAGCCATTACTCTTTACAATTGTCAGTTTGTTAACTTTCTTTTAATCAAATAATAATAAAAAAAAAAAAAAAAAATGAGTCAATGTGAACTGAATCGATCTAATTTGAAAAAAAAATAATAATAATTCAAGCATGTTTTTGTGAACTGGATCAATTCCTTGAAATAATCTGACTCAAAGAACAATATGTTCATTAAACGAACATCATTATTGCTCTCATGGTTTCAGTCTGTTCCTCACACAAAGCTATATTGTGGCATGGAGAAGACTTGGAATGAGTTGATTAGTTGAGGAGTCAAATTGGCAACTTTTATGATTCTGTTTTCTGTTTTTTAAATTTGAAAGCTGAGGACACATTTATTGTTTTTGAAGTAAAGAAAAAAAAAAACAGCAATCAGGGCATTATTTGGTTTTACTTTTGTGTTCTAAGGCAGTCGTGTGCATTTGAAATATGAGGGTGATGTAATTTTTTTTCTCTTTAAGTGAATTAATAATGCTCAAAATCTACTAAACAACATGCAGGTCTCACTCTCTGACTAAAACTGTACTTCTCATCAGGGACACCGCCTCAAAGAGACTCTTTTAACAGCTCTTTCTCCCAGAGACCGCTCCAGTGGTCAGCCCCAGCACAGCGTTCCCTCTCAGCAGACTGCTGTTGACAGTTTTGGGGCATGAACTAATTTTGCTCTACTAATGCTGCTCAGGATGCAAAGACTACAGTGCTGTTTTTGTTAGGGATGCACCGAATGTTCGGCAACCGAAATTATTCGGCTGAAAATAGCAAGAAAAGCTCTATAAGGCTGAATAAGTGAAAAGACAGAATAAATTGTACCGAACAGTGACGTGACGCGGTCAAATAGAGGCACACGCTAATGCAGCAACATGACGGCAGTGTGGAAACATTTAAAGCTGTCCGAGAAAGACGCAAAAATCATTACAAGCACCGACAGCGAGAGACTGTTAAGTACTGCATCGCATGTCTTCGATGAGAAGAGGCAATTGGCAAAATGGGGGGAAAAACTTGAAAAACCGTGTTCGGTATTCGGCCTTCGGCCCAGTGTTTCATTTTGTTCGGCTTCGGCCAAGAATTTTCATTTCGGTGCATCCCTAGTTTTTGTGCCTGCCAGTCTGCGGCAGTGTGTCTTACTTTAATGACTCCAAAAATAAAGACTGGCGAGAGAAGCCATTATTTCCACATGGGATTAGAGGAGATTACAGATGAAATCACAGCAACTGAAATTCTAGACATGCTTGTTGACAAATTCACATAATTATCGTCCTGTTATCTCACACACAAGAATGGCTCTGTAATCGGGTTCAGTCCATACAGTGCGTGGTTATGAAACCTCTTGGAAAGAGACGAGTGGCTCTTGTAGTGGATTAGTCAGAGATCCTTCATAAGGAGGGACGTGGAGTCACTAATAGTCATAGAGATGATGAACCTCTTCCTCAGACTACTCTGAATGTCAAGCGTGACATTTGAGTAGTCTGTCCTCCTTGCTTACTTGTCATTTGAGAACAGGGAGGATAAAAATTAAGAGATTAACACATTAAGTGACGACCACAAATCGTGCGGAGGAAAAGATAACGTCTGTTTATATACAGTATACAGTTTATACACTTTAGACAAAATGAAATCAATTTTTGATTTAAAAAAATTACTATATTACTATTTACCTAATAAATGTTTCTGGTCTTATTGTGTGTGATTAGGAACAATCAAAGCCTGTTTCCATCTCAGAGTTGAAAAAAGATAATTGTGTTTAAAATATGAAATAAAGTCACATTGTGAGATACAGGGACCCAGTTATGAAGCTGAAGTTGTGAGATATAAATTCACAATTTTTTGTTTATGTATGTATTTATTTAGGGTGGAAAGGGATTTCTATAGTACACACTATTCCAAAGAAAAACGTTTTCATAATCACTAATACAAATTTGGAGAAAAATATCACTAACCAATAATATCATAAATCCAGTCAAATCTTAATGGATAAAATCAAGTCTTGCCTTTTATTATTTAATAATTTTTCATCTTACAAAATATGTCACATTCCAGAAAGCCTTGTCATCTTTAACATCTTTAACAATTATGTCTTTTTAAATTCCACTTTGTTTTTATTTGTTCTGAGATTTTCCTTTTAAAAACTGCTGACCTGTTGAAATAATCTTCCTCCACAGGAGTGTACCATGAAGGTCCAGGAGGGGAAATTTAAACTGCAGGATCTCCTGGTGGTCCCTATGCAGAGGGTCCTCAAATACCACCTTCTGCTTAAGGTGAGAGCCACCATCAGCATTACTATGAGCTCATTAAGCAACCTGTTCAACTTCCATTTATTCCAATTTAAAGTTTGAAAGCAGCAGAACAGCAGTACCTTGCGAACCCCAAAACCCTATAAAACATTCACATCGCTTTATCTCATCCAACAAGACCCATGTGGCTCTCCACTCTGCTCAGCCACTGCTAATAGAGATCATGTATAAAACAGGACGCCCTGCATGATACAAACCATCATTAATTCACAACACACATTAATAATGTATATGGAGAGAAAGACTGTGACGTGTGACAGACGGCCAGGATACAGCGGAGAGGGAAGTGAGCATTGGGAGGTGGATACAGTGACACTGTTTAAATCAGCCATGCTTAAATCATATTATCCGCAGCCCATTTCATACACTCAAACCAAGGGAGTGTTGCTGTGTAGCCTGTGTGTGAGTTGGCGTGTGCTTGTTCTTAAAAAGTTTGCTAAATCTAACTAGACCTCCTTCTTTTAGGGACATCCACATTTGATGTCCTCAGTTAAAAAATAAAAAATTGTATGCTTTTTAGAATTATAATTACATGCATTCAATCAAGCATTTCACATGGTATAAATATATATAATTTATTTTGTGTGTGTGTGTGTGTGTACATATATGCACACCATTTAAATAATGTCTTTTAGAGTGAAATACCACCATAAACAGGCACAAGTCTTGTGTCAGGCTAAGTATGCGTGACTTATCATTATGTTGTCTGTCCACAGGAGTTAGTAAGTCACTCTATGGACCGCCCGGAGAGACAGCAGCTTAAAGAGGCACTAGAAGCCATGCAGGTTTGAACTCTTTTTATGACCATCATATACACATAATAGCCTAATAGAGTATTTGATGTCAATAGTTGGGTTGTATTATAATTATGCCTAGCATAATGTTTATTGTGCAGTGATCTCTGGGACTTTTTATTTTGGGGGATGAGTGGCTTGGATTTTTCATCTGAGTGTTTTGCCTTTGTCTGTCTGTCTGTCTTGTCTTTGAAGGACCTGGCAATGTACATCAATGAGGTGAAGAGAGACAATGAAACCCTGAAGAAAATAAGTGAATTTCAGAGCTCAATAGAAAATCTTGTAAGTGTTCATGAAGTTGTGCGATACACTGGCATGATCTGATAAATGCAGAAAGAGGTCATACTTTAAAGGTCATTAATAATTATTATGTCCCTGTTTGTTAGAAAGATATTTGCCTGTACGTAAAATTATAAAGCAAAGATATCATTCATATTCAGTGGCCTACCTGTTTCTGTTGAGGTACCTATGTAATTTTCAATGCAGAGAACATGGAATCAGTATTTAAGCATTTTGGTATTGACTCGACACTAATTCATGGTGGCTTCACGAAAAGCTTCTATGAGGATTGCAAAAATATAGTTGGTCCCCTCTACTGTGTCAATTGAAAGACTTATGATGTCTGAGAATGTGCACATTTCAGCATTCTGGCCAATTCCTCTTTATCCCCAAACATTTAGTTTTTTACAAACCTCCACCTGCCCCCCGTCTGTCACTTCTGTTCAGTAAAATAAATCCTGAAAGCCTCCAGGCCACGAGCACTGGCAGGATGTATTTAGGATTGTGTTTAAAAGGGAATGAAATCAGTGTATCCTCTCCCGGTAGCTAATGTAGGAGTTAGTGTATCAGCCCTGGTTTATTTATGTGAGGGTCTGTGGTGCAGATGACGCCCGTGGCTAAACATCAATGAGCCAATGAGGCATGCCACTTATGGACAAAAGACATTCACTGTGGACTTTGCCTTTAATAGCTCCTAATATAGCAGCAACTGTAGCATAATAGTCTATATATACAGTTTGCATGTATGTACAGTTGTATGTATGTACCTTTTATTTGACAGTAGCATCAAAGAAAATTGCATAAAGTCATCTTCTGTTTATACAGTGTTGTTTTCTCCCATTTTAAAGAAACAGTTGATACATAAACTTATTTATGTTAAATAAATATTACAGAAATGTTATAAACAATAACAAAATACAACAACAGTATGGAGCTGTATGGAGATATTTTGCAATAAAGAACTCTTTTGATTATTTTTTCACACAAACAAATGATCAGAAAACAACACTGACATGCAAGACAAAAAAATTCTAAACCAAAACCTTTAATGTGCTTGGAAAAAAAGCTTTTAAACCAAGACAGTTTTTTAGTGAAAAACGTCTCAGGTTACTTATGTAACCATGGTTCCCTGAGTAGGGAACGAGACACTGCGTCCTCTAGGGGTCGCTATGGGGAACGCCTCGTCGTGACCCGTGTCTGAAGCATACATTGAAAAAACACCAACTCGTTGGCCGGCGACAGCCATGACGTCACTACCGGTGCGACTATAGTATAAATAAGCGCCGGGAGCTACACATCATTCACTTCTTCGTCTGAAGCTTGCATCCGCAGCATGGCAAGAAACCTAGAGGACACAGTGTCTCGTTCCCTACTCAGGGAACCATGGTTACATAAGTAACCTAAGACGTTTTCACCAACTTCATATTTCAATTTGACTAAGCTTAAATTTCAAGGCAGCATTAAGTTGTAAAAGGTTTTTTTTTTAACAGTGAGTCTAATCCATTTAAGCTTGATTTTTGCCCAGAGCCGGCCCAAGGCATAAGTGAACTAAGGGGCTGCTTAGGGCCCCGTGGCCACCAGGGGGCCCCCAAGAGTACATGAAATGGCTTGATTTTTTTCGGAGTGTCTATTTACACTAAGTGCAAATAGCCCGCCTTGTTGGCAGAGTCTATTTACACGAACTCCGCCCACCAACGTGTGATTCGGCTAGTGAACATTACACAAAAGACAGCCAACAGTCATCAAATGATGTGTGCTCCCGGCGCCTATTTATACTATAGTCGCACCGGTAGTGACGTCATGGCTCTCGCCGGCCAACGAGTTGGTGTTTTTTCAATGTATGCTTCAGACACGGGTCACGACGAGGCGTTCCCCATAGCGACCCCTAGAGGACGCAGTTCGAAGTTCCCATGAAAGGGAACCAAGCTTTGAGGAAAATAATGATTGGTTTTGCTTGCAGAATTTTTCTTGGGATGCACAATAAAGACAAAAAATGAACTCCCTATAACTATCCATATTTTTGCAATTCCATTTGACTCATTTAAATTTAACTTATATTTACCTGTAAAATTTTTGTAAATTATTTACCTGTAAAAACATATTGCATACAGGGACAAGTGACACTTAAATGTATGTCACAAAGTAATGTATAGAATTCCTCAAGCCTTTATGCCAGTATAAATGTTTTAACTGTGTTTGTGTTTGCGTGTGTGTGATTGTGTCATTCACAGCAGGTGAAGTTAGAGGAATACGGCAGGCCGAAGATAGATGGAGAGCTTAAAGTGTGCTCTATAGTTAACCGAACCAAACAAGACAGGTACGACTGCACATTTATTATGTTTTCATATGCAACAAAAAATGGCCTTTGACATCTTCTGCTACAAACAGATTGTGTTATCTTTTTTTCTGTTTTCTGTACCTAGGTACATCTTCCTATTTGATAAAGTTGTTATTGTTTGCAAGAGGAAAGGCTATAACTACGAGTTAAAAGAGATCATCGAACTTCACCTCTACAAGATGTCCGATGACCCTATGAATAACCGTGACATGAAAAAGGTGAGAGGCCTTTGATCCGCCAGCCATCGGGCTTGTTTCAGAATAAATATACCTGATTATATTGCTTCTTTCAAATTGATTCAGTCAATGATCTTTATGTATTGCGTGTTAACGGTGCAAAGGCAAATGGGACAATCTGATCGTTTGCTTGGTGAACAGCACAGATGGATTGCGTTCATTATACGTTTGTCCTTGAGTGTTAAAGCATGATGCTCATAATTTCAACCAATCAGAGATGATGCACTGCTCTCTTCGGTGCTCTAGCATGTGTATGTAAATGCAGAGAAGCCAATGCATTCTCCATGAATCTAACAATCAGGAATTTTTGCATGTATATGAGAATGCATGTGTAACTGGGTGTCTCTCTCTCTGTCTCGCCTTCAATCTCTTTGCATGCCCACCAGTCGAGTGGAAAAATGGTAAGCTGAATGCTCATGTTCTCTAAGCATTGAGGTGCTGTGATTGTGCCTTTCACTGATCTGTTTTCTGTCATCTCAAGAGTTCCACAGCAGCTTTACACTGCCAGAATGGAATCATCATGTTTACAAATTGACGATTTAAGATTTTCCAAAGATGTTCTGTAGAATCCACTGAGATGTGACATGTTTTTTTACTTGACAGGGCATGTTAAAGGGTTAGTTCACCCAAAAATGAAAATTGTCATAATTTACTCATCCTCACGCTAATCCAAACCTGTATGAATTTCTTTCTTTTGTTGAACACAAAAGAAGATATTTTGAAGAATGTTGCCAGTAGCCATTGACTTGCATAGAATTTTTGTCCTTACTATGGCTGCATTCTTCAAAATATCCTCTTTTTTGTGTTCAGCAGAAGAAAGAAACTCATACAGGTTTGGAACAACTTGAAAAGAGAATTTTCATTTTTGGGTGACCTATCCCTCTAAAGACCCTATGTCCAAGTCAAATTAGAGTTTTGTGACTTTTAGTCCACATCCGTTAGCTTTGAGGGTCTATGTTAGTGTAGCATTGACAAAATTAAATTCACATTTAGCAAATATACAATACCACGGAAAAGTTTGGGGTAAAAAGTTTTTTGATCCAAATAAATGCTTTCTAGAAATGAGAATGATCATCTGACTAATGCTGTAGACTAGCATTTAGTAAATTGTTGTTGGCAGCATGACGTAGCTAAAACCTTTTGGCAATTTTCAAAAAGTGGGGACAAGACAAATGCCCCATCCTGTTTCAATAGAAAACATGTCAAGTGAATTCATGTGGCCTTTTGAAAAGCAGTATTTGTAGCATGCGATGCAATGGAAAGGCCAAAGACACGTATACATAGACTAAATTAACAATTAAAAAACAGTGTAAATGGTTATGTGAAAAACCCCTAATGCATTTTCAATCCTGCTGCATTCTGTCTATTTCTGTCCACCTCCCCTTCCTCAATCAACCATCTTCTCTCCACCCATAGTGGTCCTATGGCTTCTACCTGATCCATCTGCAGGGGAAACAGGGCTTCCAGTTTTTCTGCAAGACAGAAGACACCAAGCGCAAGTGGATGGAGCAGTTTGAGATGGCCATGTATGTTAGAACCGCATCACTGTCAGAATTACACAGTACTTTGAGTTTTTGATTGCCATATAACATTGATTTGATTATTAATCCACACAGGTCAAACATCAAACCCGAAAGAGCCACTGCCAACCAGCACAACTTCCAAATGCACACGTTTGAAAAGAACACCAACTGCAGAGCCTGTAAAATGCTGCTGAGGTGAGGGCTCACACACACAGATGCCACTTCTCTCCGAAATTACAGAGGCAGCGCAATAGACTGAGACAGGCTTCATTCCATGTTACTAGGCTACTGGTCTGACCTCTATTACATGAACTGCTTCACTGATTGGCTGTATTGACTCGTGTGAAATCATAGTGCACTGACCTAAATTTGCCACTCTGCAGCACAGGTCAGTGTGCACAATGGCTGCTAATTATAACGGCTCTGCATTTCAATCTGTGTGCAAACTGGCCTGGGATTAGTTTGGATGTTGAATGTTGCCGCTGAGTTGTGCTGACATACAGAGTCACATGGGGTGATTGTTGTGGTTGTATTAATGCATGATAGGTTGGCTTCCAAAGCCAAGCATCACTGTTATAGTAGCTCATGCCTAGAATCTGAACAAGCCTCTAAATAATGAGCACACCCTTAGTGCTGTGGACATTATTGATGCCTGAAATTGTGTGGCTTGTTGAATTGTAAGCAATTAAATGCATGATTTTGGATCAACGTATGGCAAAAAAAAAAGTATAGGCATGCATTAAAGTCAGGACCAGAATATAATAGTCTTTAGATGCTGTGCACATTACAATTGGTTTTCAAATACAGTACCATCTTTAGGACTGACTGTCCGTACTATCAAGTGATCAAATCTGTTTCAGGCAGTGTTATCAATATCTAATGTATCTGTTATAATAATGATGTTAAGTGTAAGCGCAAAGCCAACAGTCTTCTTTAGAAAACAGCTTGGAGTCGGCATTGACCAAGAGGATGTAAAACTGGAAATTCTGGATGTGTTCTAAATCTCTGACTCATTCACTATACACTACATAGAGAATGTCACAGTTCACTATATGAAAGACTAAGTGAAAATTAGTAAATGAGTCAAAACAGGCATGTAAACATCAGCATTGTCTGAACATAGACATACAGCAAAAAACAGAGACTTGGCGGAGGGCTCTTTTGATATGGACCAGCTAGCAATAACCCCAAAACACCTTAGCAACGCTTAGCTTAGCTATGCGTTGGCAACTGCTTACTGTACAACACCATAGCAACATAGTGCGGAGTTATGCATGGGCAAGCATCATTCAAAACCATAACGAAATCTAGTTGTTTGGATGAATTTGAACTTCAGTAGGACCTCAGGAAATGAAGACATATTGTCATATTATATTGTCATTTTTCATTGGTCATTGCCCTACAGTAGCCTTATGACCCAGACAATTTATCATCAGCATGTGTCTCTCACTCTCCTTCTATCATTCTTTCTTTAGGGGTATTTTCTACCAGGGATACTACTGTTCACATTGTGGGACCGGCGCCCATAAGGAGTGTCTGGAGGTCATTACCATCTGCAAAATAAGTGAGTCTTTAACAGAAGGCTGCTTCTCAAAGAACCACATGTACATTACATCTGCCCTAATTAAAGAGGTCAAACCACTGACCATGCTCTCTCTCTTTCATTATTATTTCAGGTCCTCATGATTCGGTGAGTTTTTAGTGCCCTGTACTAATAAACTTCCATCTCTCAGATAAACTAATAATCCTCTCTCATTGACTTGAACCATACTTGACTTCTTGATTTAATCTTAAAGTTTGTCGTCAACTTTGAAAAACACTTTAGGGATGTCTTAAATGATGCCTGATCTGCTTATATAAAAACTATGTTACACTTTAAAGTGCATTAAATCATAAATTCCCCTCTGTCTTTGACAGGAGCCAGGGCTTCCACAATCAGGTAAAAATATAAAATGTGATTTTTGTCTCCGTCTTCTGTGATCCTAATGTGGTTGTGTCAATATGAAAAATTTAGATACTGCACACAGCTTCAGGCTGTTAAACTGAAATGAACCACATTCAGAGCACATGCGTTAAAGAAATTATACATCAGCTATCTGCTGCCATCTGGTGTATAGTTAACGCATGCAGAAAACGCAGAGTGTGGGTGTGTTCTAAGAATATGAATTATAAGCGTCCATGTACTTTATTCTTTGCACAGTTATAAGCTTTTTTCCCTAATGTGTTCTTAAGGTCCAAAGATGGTGGCCATAAGAAATTACCATGGTACCCCTGCCCCACCAGGCAAGATGCCTCTCTGCTTTCAGACAGGCGAAGTCATTGAGCTCCTGAAGGGAGATCCAGACACATCATGGTGGGAGGTATGATATTATAAAATGATCATTTACCATGTTTACATAGAAAACCTGTTCGGTGGTGCAAAATTGGACCCTTTCCATGTGCCATATGATCGTAAAAGTAGCTGTGGTGAGTAAATTAAATGGAGTAATTGGTCAGTTGGCCCATTTTAGAAATAATAGCATGGTTTTAAATGGTTGAAATTGCAATCCATAAACAGCAGTCACTCTCTGATGTATCACAATCACAAGTTATATTAGAGATACAACCGAATCAGAAATACAGTTCCGTAACAGGTAAGAGATATTTATGACCAGTAAATTTCTTCAGTTTTTTTTTTTTACATGCCATTAACAGGTTACCTTTGAACTCTGGTCATACTTAATTGTGTAGTATAACCAGATGTCTTGGTTTTGGGGGCTTGCTTTTCTTACTTCATTAATCTTTACCTTTCAATCGTTGCATTTTCGTCTCAGGGCAAACTCATCCAAACCCAAAAGACTGGCTTCTTCCCCAGTTCCAGTGTGAAACCATGTCTAGACCCAAAGGTACAGGTTCATAAAAGTAAATTCAAATCTTTTTTTTAAAATTATTCCTATCATAAAAATAAATTACATTTTGAAAAACATTGAAATAGAATCAGTTATTTTAAATATTAATGCTATTTCACAATTTTTTTTTTAACCTTTATTTTAATAAATGCAGCCTTGGTGAGCATAAGTGACTGTAAAAAAATATTTTAAAAACCTTACTGACCAAACTTCTGAACAGTAATGAATTTGTGTATAAATCAAAATCTAAAAAGAGTGGTAATGTCATTTGAATATGTGAATATTAATTTGTGATTGAACTTGCATTTGTTTTTGTTTTTGTCTGTCTATAGCCATATGCTGCACAGCTGTGTAAGGCTAATTTAGCTCTGATGTTGCATTTCACTTACACAGAACCACAGCCTAATCTAAACCCATCTAAAACTATAACTTTTTTCCTTGCAAACACTGGTATTTCTTCTAGAAATGCAGTTTCACAATATGTTGATAAAGATGAAAACATCTGGAACATCAAAGTGCTGTAAGTAACTTTAGATATGTTTCTTTGTTACAGGAGCTTGTGGAGTATTATCAGAGTCATTCACTGAAAGAGAGCTTTAAGCTGTTGGACACGACATTACGGTACCCTTACAAATCTAGGGAACGCTCAAGTTCTCGCACCAATACCCGTTCACCAGGTAAACATTTGCTGCCATAATCCTCTGCAGCTTTTTATCACTCTCTTTCTTCCGCTCCCTTTCCCTCTCCCTTTTTTAATTTATACTCTTCTGCTTTCTTGCTTTTTCTGGCACACATTTTTTTTTATTGAGCCCCCACCAGTCTGGCCAGCAGCCTTCCACAGTCTTTGGACACGCTCTGGAAGTCTGAACAAACAAACCCTGCCAGCTGGTCCCGCCCTCACATTCTGTATGCCCCGCCTCCTGGTATTTCAAATGTCAGTCATCTTAGGCTTGGTTGTCAAGGATCCACCCACTCTGGCTGAGGCTGGGGCCTGACTGAGACTTCTGGCTCCCGCGGCCAAGTTTTGCTCAGCCAGCTGAATAGGTTCCAATAAACAGATGCTTCGTTAGATGTATTATAAATGATGTGCCTTTGTTCGTTTTCCAGTCAAGCTTAACTGGTGTTCACTGATATTTTTATGCAAGTGCGTAAAGACAATGTCTATTTGCGAAGGGCTGAGAATATGCCTTGAAGATCCCCATATGCAACATGAGAGCTGCTTAAAGGAGCCATTCACCCAAATTTTGTCATTCACTCGCACTGATGTTGTTTCAAACCCATGTGACTTACTTTTTCCATTGAACGGAAAAGGACACTGAATGTTCACTGTTTCATACAATGAAAGTAAATGAAGGCTGATACACATACACTAACGTTCAAAAGTTTGGGAACGGCAATATTTTTTTTAAACGTTTTTGAAGTCTCTTTTGCTCATCAAGGCTGCATTTATTTAATCAAATATACTTTAATACTGTGAAATAGCATTACAATTTAAAATAACTATACTATTTTTTATTTATTTTTAAATGTAATTTATTTCTGATGCAAAGCTGAATCTTCAGCACCATTACTCCGATCTTCAGTGTCACATGATCCTTCAGAAATCATTCTAGTATGCTGATCTGCTACTCAAAAAATGTCGTCTTATCATAAATGTTGAAAACAGTTGTGCTGTTTAATATTTTTGTGGAACCAGTGATACAAATTTTCCAGAAAATTTTTTTTTTTGATTAATTAAAAGTACAAAAGAACAAAATTTATTTAAAATATACAAGTCTTTAATGATACTTGTGATCAATTTAATGTCCTTGCTAAATAAATGTATTAATCTCTGTAGAAAAAAAACGTACTAACCCCAACCTTCTGAAAGGTAGTGTGTAGTTTACCTAAAGTCCATTTTTTCCTGTTGAAAAAATTTGTGTTGATTGTGAATGTCAGAATTCTAGTTACTTTTTCACAGAACACAGATACTCTCTCACACACACACACACACACACACACATACAAACACCTTGCTGACTCTGAAACCATGTCCTTGAACCTTTTTTTTTTTACCCTGTAATTCTGTT